TGTGTGTGTGTGCGTGGTGTGTGTGTGTGTGTGTGGTACGTATGTGTGTGTGTGTGTGTGTGTGTGTGTGTGTGTGTGCACGTGCATGGGTGTGTTATTATGAGGAATAAGGAGGATTTGGAAAGTGTCCTTAGTTTGCAGTTGAAACTATCCGTACAGTAGAATTACGTAACACACATCACAGTGTTGTGATTACATGGTAAGGATTCACGATAAACAAAATAAAACCACTGCAAACATTTCATAATTTACAGTACCCCTTGCTCCATCATTCTCTAAATTTCTGGAAAGATTCCTGTATAGCTACATTGTAAGGCACACCTCTTTCAAGATAGCGTACAAAGGAAAACTGTCAATCATACTGCAACAGTTGGCCATCTTAAAGACTACTCAAGATTGCATACGACGTGTCTTACCCAGGTGGTCATTCCCCGAGACGAAAACCTGGCGATCTTGTCCTCGAAGTCGATCCCGCCCACCCCGATCACATCCATCTGGTCGGCCGGGTTGTTCAGTGTCCTGTCGACGTACGGTGACAGATAATAAACATGTTAGTCTTACGACGACACGGTTAATTGCTTTATGCGTTAATTAATGACTGCCTTGCAATCGTTGCCTGCATGACTGATGATGTGCATACAAAGCATGTTCTTGTGATAGCTTGGGGAAATATTTTATGGGCAGTGTTTTATTTCCCTAGCGGAGGGAAGCGCAGTGCGATGACGGCATGTTGACAAGACTTTGGGACACCCACGGATCCAGAGAGCACTTCACAGACACAAAATCACGGAGAAGACTCCAGATGAATTATGGAAGAAAAGGACAGGGATGGTGTATGGGACTTGAGACGATGTCACTATCAATAACGCTGTCGATAAAGCAATGGAAATCATTGAAAAAACGTAAGAAGCAAAATTACATGTATGTTCTTGTCTGGCGGCATACAATAATTCATTAGTGGAGAATTTATCAAGTTACTTGGCTTATTTTGTATTATGTAATGTTTGAAATGAGCTCATGATTTGCTAACCTATGTACATGTACATGTACATGTACATGTACATGTATGTTACAGCATTCATCCTGAGGATCACTCTCTACATTCGAAGGCCCTAATATATACAAGATGCACACCCCTACTCTACATGTAAATCTTTTCGAGAAATGACGTGGGATCTTTAACATGCTTGACGTGTGGCTTTCCTCAAACATAGGACATCTGGCTTTATGTCCCATCCAAGAGGACAACCTTAACAGAAGCTTGGTCCTTTTCACATTAGTCGAGTGAGGAAAAGTAATGACGGTTAACATTGGGGTCTGCTAGGGATTTGAACTCAGAACCTTCAGATTCTGAGTCACAAGACCACCTTGCTACATGTACATGTACCCAGGGCTCAAAATTAACGGTAACCGATGGCCAGTGACCACTGAAATGTAAGCTGGGACAACTAAAAAGACAATTTGGGATATATTTGGGACAACAGAAAAATAGTCAACATCAGAATGTCAGCCCTTGTTTTGTTTGGCTCCAGAAAAAGCTACCCCAAATTTCTCATTTACTCTACATGTACAATTATAGAATACCTGGAAGCCAGAATGTAAGCAAAATAAACCTGATTTCAAGTTCACTTCCTGAAAAACAGGTTGGGGCAGTTCATCCTCACTTTGGGACAATTGAAATTTATTTTTGGGACAGTGCTGTGACAATAGGAAAAATAATAATTTTGAGGAGTGTGTACCACGGAGGCTCCCCTTTCTGGATAAGATTGCACCGACCAGACTGCACAACCCTGCGTTTGGCCCAACGTTCTACAAGTGGCCGACCACCTGTTCAACGTAACACTTCACGCTGTTGCAAGTCCCTCGAGCTGCCGGCTAATTTATCCCGATGACTCTTCGACACACCTGATCAAATCTCAGGCAATAGGCAATCAACTTTCAGACGAGTGGCTGCATCGATCAGGGCTGTGTTATTAAAGAAGTGTTAAGTTGTATGTAGTCTTTGACTATACTGCTGTGGGGTTCCTGACACAGTATTCGACTTGTCTTCACACCAGATCTTGTCTTCACAACAGGTTCTGTCCGACGGTCCACACCAGCAAGGCCACACAAAATCAATAAACTGGGTCTGTTGGCCATCTCTGACTAAAGCCCCGGTCACAACCCGCCGTGCGTGCTTTTTGTCCGTAGGTTTTTTTGGGAGGCCACGTCTGCTACGTTTTTCTGAAAACGTGCGTTGAATGCTCATAGGCTGTACAGGGCACGCACGTCGCACGTACGGGTGGTGAATCCGCAGACCGCACGCATGAAAAGTTTTACATGCACTTAAAGTTCTACGGCGTGTCTGCGTGCTCCCGAATCCGTAGGATTCCGTACGGAGGCGGTGCTCACCACGCACGGATGCCCTACGTTTGCCCACGTTTTTGCACGCAGAGACACGCACGGCAAGTTGTGACCGAGGCTTAACTCCAATTTTTAAGCTGTTGTCAAACTAACATATCTATCTATTCATTCATATTGGTTACAGGAGACCAATGGTTACAGGTGACCAATATATAGACTCCCTTTCCCCACAGAATCTGCTTGGAGATAACTTATCTAACAGTTAGAAATGCTGACAATCAAAATTTCACTTCTTTTTAAAGACAATAAAGACGTTAAATAAGAAATCAGAGATTTCAAGCTGTCAGGAAGGGTTTTTGTTTTTATGAATGTATTGGCACTGTATTGTATGATCATTGAATTAATCACAAAATTATTACTTGAGGATCATTACTCATATGATTGTATAATATCACTTAATCCAGTATTACACCACAGTTAATGTTTCATACCATGATTACATAGTACACCTTTCTCACAACCTCATACCACATCCTATATCATCCAGGACACATGAGTCACAACCCTGTCAATCAACACATTCAATCTCCACCAACTCACTTCAAATACATGCTGCTGAGGATAAAATACTAGTAGCTGTACATACAAACACCCCTTAAGGCCACACCAATTTAATTTCTTGGTTAACGGATTCGCCCGCTTCGTTTTTTTTCTGATTTGAAAATAAAAATAAAAATTCAGAATCGACTGCAAAATGCTCCTATTTCGCCCTGAACAGTTGAAAACAGTCCTTTTCTTCCTAGTTGTTACAGTTATTCCATCTTCCAATGCAGTGGTATCATTAAAAGTTCAAAATTCATTGTTTGAATTTTGAACCAGTCTGGTGTGTTGACTTCATGCATATGGCTCCTATCGTACCATTTTGGGCTATAATAGGATGCCTAGGCTTGTTTTTATTTGAATTTTTTTTCGCCCGCCCGCTCCATTATTTTTCTAGAAAAATCCATTAACCAAGAAATTAAATTGGTGTGGCCTAAACCAGCATAACCAAAAACAATCAAGTTAAATGTGTTCTTCTCCTTGTTGTGCCAGACCAAACTTGTTTCAAAAGAGTGCTACAGTATGGCAAACACGCAGACTACTTAGGTACCCGGAACACTGGGGTGGAAAAGGCAATTTAGTAAGGGATGTGATCTGAATGTTGATTGGCTCAAAATTTCCTTGATGGCAGGTTTTCAATAACTTCCACCAATCAATATGGTGCTTTCTCGTGTGTGCCGATCTTGGAGCTTGTTGCTTTGGAAAATATCACCTCTGTACAAGGAGTCCTTGAATTTCAAACTGTTGCCTGATATTACTCTTCAATGGCTATTCTTGGTATCAAAATATTCTTCAGTGAGGATAAGGAAGTTGTCATCATTACAGAACTGTCATCATTACTATAATTATAGTCATGATTATGGAATCAATCATAAAAATACATAAATTCTGCCTTTCCAATGTTTTCACATTTCCACTGTTTGTATAAGGCACACACTGGTACATGTAGTACATGTATATTCAGTAGACCAGACACCAAATCAACTGCATATTTCAATGACACAGAAGAAAAATCAACCAAAATCAAAGAAATTCTTAAACGTTTTCACTGGTCAAATTTAATACATTTACCCACCTTTTTACCTTGTATCAAACACTGTACTTGTCTAGTACATTTCACCTTCAGTATACGATTTTGTACTTTCCTACTGTCGACCTTGCCGAACTATTCTAAGCAAGTCTGGGGGCACCATTACCAATATTACCCCGACTAGGCAGTCCATTTTGGGGGCTGTTAGAGTGCATATCTGAGGGCACGGCCTGTGTACAGAGTACTATAGACTGACTCTCGTGCCTCCCAGTTCCAAATTAAAGATGGCAGACACAATACACTCTACCCTAGCCTTACCTGTAGGTCTGCCAGCTTCAAGAGTCACAATTCATTCTCCTTAATCTGGTCCAAATGAAGGATTTCCAAGGTTTAACCGCTGGGCCCCAGCTCAATGGCATTAGCGTGGCACCATTAGAATGACAATGTCCGACTCAGATACAATTTCCACAGACCAGCTGAGGGCTGATACAGCACCAAATGAAATGGATTTTTCTTTCACTGTAGATTAGGTGGACATTCTGTTTTGTAGCTTAATCAGTAGGCTTTTGTTAGTCTGTAGACATGTGATTTAAAACAATACAGAAGGTGATAAGGTGGTCATGGGGTTAGGGTTGTTGACTAAAAATCAGAAGGCTCTGAGTTCGAATTCCCTAGCAGACCCCAAGGTTGTGCACTTGGGAAAAGCACTTGACTTGCTTTTGCCCTTGACTCAGGTGAAAATGAGTACCTACATGTAGCTTCTGTTAGGGATGTCCACACGGATGGGATGCAAAGCAGAGTTCCCTTGTATGAGGGCAAACACACCTCATACAACTGTACATCCATCCAAAAGAGAAGAGGTCCATCCCGTTGTGAGTGGATCAAAACTTACATGGCTTGTACATTGTACTTACTGTAGAAAACTGATGTTTACCATACATTTTTTTTGTACCTGGTAGTTTACTGGGTATATGCCAAACAAAACAATACTACAAGCATTTGGGTTGCTTGATGTTGAATACATGTACATATAGAATACAACACGGGGTATTCCGTATCGCCCGAGGTATCAGCCCGACCGTGAGTCGGATTGCCTAACGGCCCAATTCACCGTGTTGTATTTTATTTATGTCATACCCACCCAAGAAAATGCGCCTTTCAGTGCAAGATGAGCCAAATTTGGTGCCCCTAAACCCTAAAGTGCAACAACATCAGTTCCAACGTCCAGATTCTGTATTCGAATTTTCGAAAGCGGCACACGCAGTTAGGGCAGAACGCGTTCGAATCGTTCTATGGAAGACATGGAGCCCGGAAACCGTTATCGAACGTTATCGCAGCCCGGGTATACGTATGATATAAATGTTGAATACCAATGTACCAAAAGATAGGAGGAAAAATCTACTGGCACAACAATTATTACACAAGCTGCAACCATACAAAATTTAATGTACATGTGTGTGTGATAGATCCTGTTACATCCACAGGTGGCCTACCAGCACAAGCTTATGGTACTAGATATCCCTAATGGAAAGGTAAGTAATTATAATACAGACAAGCAAAGCCTTCTCACATTCAACATCTCCAATATCAATGAGCCTCCAATTACTTTCATCCACTCTACAGAATTCTCTCTATCCAAAAAGTAGGCCACGTCTTTAGGGATGATAGGTGTCGTTTAAAAACAAGGCCAACAAGTATACTGCAATAAAAATTACAATGAGCAACAGTAACCCTGGCTCTGGCATGTCCTGATCAAAACCATTGCAGCAGTACCATAGCAAGCTGCTAAGGGGCCCAAAATGTAACCACTTGGAGGTCCTACTTGGAAGACCTACTCACAGGGCTCGAAATTCATTGTTGGGAACAGGTGCACTGGTGCACCCAACCTAACAAAATAGGTGCACAAAAAATTTTTTTCGGTGCCCATACAAAATGAAACGTAATTACAGGTCTTACTGCTCCTCTTCTGAGCTTGAATCTAAAATGAGAGCTAACTTCGAAATGTTAAACAAGTACTACAACAAAGATTTTATTATTTTCTAACACTAAGATACCAACAATATCCTGCATACTATTATACAGTTAGTATGTCAAAAATACCTACAAAAATATTTGGGTGCACCAGTGTACCCACAGAAAAATTGGGGGCACAGCTCCAATTTTGACCGAGTATTTCCAGCCCTGTACCCACCTACCGAAGGTACACACAAAGGCCCCAGGCCTGAAAACATAACTTTCTTGGCAAAGGTAACAAATTAAATATGTTTTCCTTTCGTGAAGGTCTTTCACTTTGACTTTATTAATTAGGATCCACAAAACATAAAAACTGTGCCTTACCCGTACAGTGGTCCATCGTTGCCAATGGCAGACACCATGATGACTTTGTTGGCTGTGAGTTCCCAGACTTTATCCACAAACGGGTGGTCCATGAAGTCTGGTCCACCGATACTGAGGTTCAAAACGTTGATCTTCTTCAGGATGGCATAGTTGAAGGCATCGAGGAACCATGATGTGTAGGAGACCTGGGGAGGGGCATGTTGAACAGACCTGGTTTTACCATGTGCCACTAGATAACATTGTACTGTGATTACTGGAGGTATTGTTTTTGGCGCATCTGTGTGTGTGTGTGTGTGTGTCTGTCTGTCTGTGTGTGTGTTTGTGTTTCCGCACAGTTGTAGTCAGCATAACTTTATAACGCCTTTATGGATTATGATGATATTTGGTATGTTGATAAGTCTTAGGAAGACAAAGGTCAAGGTCAAATATGGGCCTCCTGGTGGCTGACCTTGGTACTGCAGCAGAACTTCAGGTTTTTGTGTCTTTTGAACGGAACATGCTATGGTCTTGATGTTTTGGTGACAGATAGCTTTTCCTGTCAGGAATAAGTGGTGTGAGTTTGGTCCCCCTAGCAGCTTGTTCTGGAACTGCAGGAACTCTTGTTGTACAGAGTACTGTAATTCGCTTTATATTCATTCCAGCAAAATTTCACAGTCAAAGAAAAATGGAGGTGCTCACGGAACTATATATTCAGGATGGTGGCAGTTGAAGACAAAAAGAAAGTTGGCGATGTAACGGTAATATGTTCACAGTACAGAAGTGACGGTGAAAAATACATGGCATATATGGCATAATACAAAATATTGCATGTTTGCATACGTTTCACATGCAATTTGAAAAATACATGCAAAATTGCTTGACTAAGTATTTTATAATTAGAGTCAGTAGTAAGGACAAAAGAGTAAAAACAGTATTTCACCCCTAGCCTGATTTTTTCAGTCTGGAAAATTGCATGTTGCTTAATTTTCCTTCAATCTGCACTATTGAAAAAGTCTCTACAAAATGCAGACTGCAGCAGGTGGGTTTTTCTGACACTATTCACGGTTTGCAAAGCTCACGGAATGCTATTTCTTGGGATTCAAGCTTCAAGTTAAAATGGGCATCAATGCAGATTATTAAAACTGATAACGGCTGCTCAACTGAGCTGGATGTCAATTCCCCATGTTGGGAGTTTTCTCCGTGTGATCCGTTACTTACTTAGTTTGCATGAAGGATGCATTTTACCAGCCGATGTATCTATTCCTAATCCCCACAGACAACCCAATAGGAATTATCATGTTCATCAAATGGTTATATCTAACGCTGTCACATACATCAATGTCCCATTACCTTCCACGCAACTCCCTAGCCAATCAATTAACGGCAATTCAAAGGCAACTGACAGGTTCTTCTAGGCAAAGGCGAGGAAGTAACTCGCATTTCAAAGCTGGTTTCTTGCTCGGCGCTAAGCTATGTTCCCTTGTTCTTTCCTGGTGGCAATGCCACGGTCAGTACCTCACATGACGGTCACACATGCAGGAGACATTACAAGGAGACAGTCAACCTAATCTGCATTCTGCAAATAAGACCACACCTATTTAATTTGTTGTTTCTCAGATTCACCCTGCCTATTTTTTTCTGATTTGCTACCAAAAAAATTTTTTGGGTCTAAGTTAACTGCAAAATGCTTAATGAAAGACATATTTTGGCCCCAACGGTTGAAGAAAGTCTTTTTCTTCTTAGTTGTTTAAGTATTTAAATGTAACAATGCAATTTTGTTTCATTAAATTCAAAATCTATTGTTTTAATTATAAACCAGCCTGGTATGTTCACTTCATGGCTCATATTGTAACATTTCTGGCTATCATGGGGTGCCTAGCCCTGTTTTTTTTTTCCCTGTCGCTTCATATTTTTTCTGAAAAAAATCTGAGAAACAACAATTAAATTCGTATGGCCTAAGGACAGGGTTGGACAAGTTTTCAAAAATCCACTTGCCGTATCGGGCAAGTACCTGGTCATTTCCAGTTGCCCGAACCAACTTTTCACTTGCCCAAAATTTGACGCATTTCTCTGCATTTTACTAGCAGGAAGGAAATTATTTTATTATAATAGAGTTTATAATGTTGGATGCTTTATTTATCAAAATTGTTTGAAACTTGGTCGAAATACGGTAGGGGCTATACCTTGCATCCAAAAAATATACTTGCCCAATCGGGCAAGTCCAGGGGGATATTTACTTGCCCGAACAGTACTTTTACTTGCCCTGGGCAAGTGGGCAATGGGACTTGTCCAACCCTGCTAAGGAGACAGTGAACTGAATCTGCATCTGCAAATAAAGGCCCGCCCTCACTCACAAAGACATCCAAATGTACACAGATGGCAAGGGAAATGTGTGCTGCTGCATAAGCATTAAGGGTTGCAAATCGAACTTACGGATGTAGCTATGTATAAAGCAGTATGCCTGGTTTCCTGGTTTTCTTTCCACTGGCATTACAAGCATGATCTAAACCACATGGAAAAGACCCCCTTTAAATTAGAAAGCGATTGGTGAGCAACTGTTGAGCGAAAAAAATTTCATTTGTGTGACCCTTGATTTAGAAGTGGGATTTAAAGGGGAACAAAACATACAAAATGTACACAAATTTGTTACCAAATCTGTCAAATATTTGGTTGCTTAGCTGTCTTTGCCTCAAGTGTAAAGGGATGTTAGAAACATGGTACAAATGTGTTCTGCAGGTGAAAAAACTATAAAAAAAAGGATAAAAAATTTTTCTTCTGAACCAAACTGAATTGAAATAAATAATCTGGCAGAAAATTTAAGGAAAATTTCTCTTAACATTGGGTTTAGATATCATCTTATGGTTGCAAAGTTGCTGGTATATCAATTGGTATAAAATGCCCTATTCTGCCCTTGTAAAAAATAAGTTGTAGACTCGCAAGTAGTCAGTACTGCTACCATTTTTCATAGCCAGCGAGTGCATCACCGTATTCTTACTTTTCATGACAATACCCACTTAACAATGTTATATGTTTAACCTCCATTCGGCCCCTCATTCCTTCTTGTCCGACGTTATGCTTCAATATCGTGTAATCCGCGAGGAACGACACACGCTCGCGGACGTTATTGGGATGATGGGCGCGGGCGTACCCACCCGTAACGAGCAATAAGTGCGATTGCGGCACGGTTGACTTGAGCACTGCCATTGATAGGCCAGGTCGTGCCATCATTAAATCGGCATTCCCGCCATTATGACACGGCAGAATTTAGGAGATAGTGGGAAATGGTGCAATCATTCCCTTACAAGGTGATAACACTCGCCGCGACTAAGGCCCCGTTTTGCGGGGGGGATGATGGAGTGTCAGTCCCGATAAAGGCACACCGTGTGTCTCGCTGGCAGATAATTATACATGAATATAGGACACGTGTAGGAGAGGGGAATGATGCACTTTCTCTACACTTCATTGAGTAATCGTGCATCCTTATACAAGATAAAGTGCTCTATGGTTGGGAAAGGGGTCGTGTGCTGTACCAACCATCCAATGTTATTTTGTCTGTCAGAAAATGGGAAGCCATGAAAAAATTTGTATCTCATTTTTTGTCTGTGCCATCACAATGTTACGCAACAAGAAACTTCTGAAATACTTCTAATAGTACAAATACCTTAGGACATGAAATGTTACAATCATGTACAAGATACAAGATCTTACATACGGGAACATCAATGTAATGTTACTGGTACTGTATCTGAATTTATATCATACCCGGGCCGCGATAACGTTCGATAACGGGTTCCGGACCGGGCCGTACTTTACGGTACGGCCCGGAACCCGTTATCGAACGCTTCCATGGCTTCCATAAAACGATTCGAACGCGTTTCGCCCTACCCGCTTGTGCCCCTTTCGAAAATTCGAATACAGAATCCGGACGTTGGAATAGATGTTGTTGCATTTTAGGGTTCAGTGGCACCAACTTTTGGCTCATCTTGCATTGAAAGGCACGTTTTCTTGGGTGGGTATGACATAAATAAAATACAACACGGTGTATTCCGCATCGCCCTCGGTCCCGGCCCTCCCGCGAGTCGGATCGCCCTCCGGCCTGCGGCCGTCCCGACACGCGGTCGGGCCGATACCTCGGGCGATACGGAATACCCCGTGTTGTATTCTATATGGACCCACACTCAAGTATATACTAGTACATGTAACGTTTTGACTTATTTTGTTAAAATGTATTCCTTCTGCAATGATAGAAAATTTGGCATTGGAAGGTACAGGCAAAGGTCTGGACCTGTACCTAAACCTCTGTACATGTACTAGTACCTGTAAAACTCTGTACTTTAAGAGAGGGCTGCGAGGGGAAGATGTGCCGTGGTTGGATGATCTGGAGCAACAGGCTGCGTCTGCTTACCGGCGCGTCAAATGAAGCAGATTTATGGCCGTTCGACCGCACACCGTTATCGCCAATTAGGCGGGAAAGGCAGCATTATTTATTTGACGATCCGTCATTTCCACCCAGTCAGAGGGAGCCAGTGTCTCCAACTGATTATTGCCAGGTGAACCCTGATTGTGGGTCATCTCAAAAGTCATAATCAAATTCTGTACTGTCATCAGTTCGTAGAGGGGGGAAAAGACTACATCTGTCGTAAATATATTGAGTCAATAATAATGAAACACGTTTAGTCTTTAATTTGTGACACAGCGAGTTGAATGGCATGCTACTTGCACTTGCATGTATTATTAGTCCAGCCATTTAATTGATGAATAATGTTTTATATCTCTGACCGAGTGTGCTTGATATATTTTGGAAATTGTACCTGTATGAGAGACTAACTTTGCAAGAACAATATTAATACGAGAAGAAACACCATGACTGATTTGACAGCAAAAAAAAAAGCAAGAAAGCAAGATGCATGGGGGTCGTTACGATGTCAGTTTGGAGAAACACTTAACATCTGGTGATGATCCCTCAAAAAAAGCCGGGTTATCCTTTTCATGCCCATGAGAGGAATACACCATTAAAACATATCATGTGTGCACATTGAAAAGAAGGCTTTAGAAAGCAAACGACCACATACCAAGTGTTCTCAGGAAATGCTATTATGTTCTGCAGCCCCTTCTGAGTCTAATCTACCGGTTGAAGCCGGCTGCTGAGCATGTCTCAAACGCTGACAGAAATGGATCAATTCCTGCACAGCCCTTATCTTCGCGATCTCCTGTCCAACCAACTTACCTACCAGTCTGGCAATCAATTTTGCTGTACTACAAAGGCTTCTCCATTTCCATGACGACGAGTGGTGGGGAGATAGGATCGTTTTTGGCGACCGGTATTCATAACTGGTTTCCCCGCGTATAGCCAACGCATGACAGCGGCATGTATTCAAACAGACAAATATAGATACGGCTGAGACAAGCCAGGGTACAGGAGGCCATTATTCCTCACTTCTTGGCTACGACACTGTCCAAAATAACATCAGTAAACTGTCCTTTATTTGAACTAAACAGGTACAGGCCAAGCTTTTTTTTGGAGGGGGTGAAATAGCTCTGTGCTTGTGGATGTTGGCATGTCTTTAGTTAGAAGTGTGGTGGGTATAGACAGAAGTCGGGGCTCAACATCTTTTTTCTTCATACAGGTAATTTTGTACCAGACAAATTTTACCTGCACTACTCAGACATACCTGCAGAGCTCTAATTTTACCTGCCGTGGATATACCCAGTACATGGACCAGTGTAGGTTAGGTGCAGGTTGACATCAGAAATACCTGCACAGCTCCAATTTTACCTGCACTAACCTGCATATACCCAGTACATGGACCAGTGTAGGTTAGGTGCAGGTTGACATCAGAAATACCTGCACAGCTCCAATTTTACCTGCACTAACCTGCATATACCCAGTACATGGACCAGTACAGGTAGACACTCCAATTTTACCTACACTAACCTGCATATACCCAGTACATGGACCAGTGCAGGTAGACATCAGAAATACCTGCATAGCTCAAATTTTACTAACCCGCAAATGAAGGTGGTAATTTGCGCCCTGGAAGTCTCTACAAAAATATTCTGTACCTGGTGCTCCTGATTGACTTGCAAAGGGAGCAGAGCAGCTCACTGCGTTGAAAGTCACCCATCACCCCGAAAGCTCTCTCTACAAGCTCTAATTGCCCGGCCTTTTGATGTTTCCCTTTAACAGGATTACATTAAGCCATGGTGGCATTTTAGGCCCATCTACATGGCCCAAATCACTTGTTCTTGGAACTGGGTACATCATTCTCTCAACAAATACCCATGACATGTCTCCACTCTGCCAGCTAACAATTTCATGATTCTGCCTTCCTACAAAAAATTGGCCTTTTCTTGACTGATCCAGCCAATAAGTTAGACGGATTGAAAAATATTAAAACAATTTTATTTCTTATCCATCATCAATAGGAAAAGAGATCAATCTTAATTTTGTCATTTATTCTGCCTGCTCTCCACAAAAATGACCTAAAAATGAATTTTTCACTACTTAAAATGAATGTTTTTTTGTGGTGAAGTTTGCAGCTAAAACAGTCATTGTGACACAAAAACGCATTTGCGTTGTCACGATTTCACTGTGAAAATAACACTACTGTCAAGATGTACAGTATCTGTATGTCATTTGCACACAGCCTAAAATATGCCCGTCAATATACATGTATGTCCATGTAATAGAGGTATGGAGGAAATGTATGCAGGCCAGCATTCAAAGATAGGCTCCACTGATGTCTCCTACCCTCAATTTAGATATAGCTCTGATAAGCCACCTGTCAAGTACTGTAAACGCATTGTACTTTCAAGGGGGGAGAGAAGTGGAGTTTTTCGTGGTGTTTGAATCTCACAGTTGCAACGACTCTGTAGTGCAACAGACACACAAGACAAATATTTATGGCGTCAGGCAACACCAATTTAATTGCTTGGTTAACGGATTTTTCTAGAAAAATAATGGAGAGGGGGGGGGGAAATAAAAATAAAAACAGGCCTAGGCATCCTATTATGGCCCAAAATGGTACGATAGGAGCCATGAAGCCAACACACCAGGCTGGTTCAAAATTTAAACAATGATTTTTGAACTTTTAATGATACCACTGCATTGAAAGATGAAATAACTGTAAACTAGGAAGAAAAGGACTGTTTTCAACTGTTCAGGGCAAAATATGAGCATTTTGCAGTTGATTCTTAATTTTTAATTTTTTTTTTTGCAAATCATAATAAAATGAAGTGGGCGAATCCGTTAACCAAGAAATTAAATTGGTGTGGCCTCATCATTAAATTTTCCCTTTAACAAGACACCACAAAAACTGTGAAAATAAAACCACCGCACAAATACAAATGTATCTACAGTGCTATCAATAGAACGAGTGACAGTGGCAGTCAAACCATACAGTATCCATAAAATGCGATAAGTTTTCTTGCAACCCGAAAAGAAGGCAGAATTTGAAGATGCAGAAGAGTGATCAGGGCTGGAAATACTGGGTGCATGTGCACCTTAGTGCACCTAAATTTGAAGCTGTGCACACAATTTTTTTTCTGTGGGTGCACCAGTGCACCCAAATATTTTCTTAGGTGTTCGTATGTAAAGAATAAAAAAGATGTTAAATGTATTAGTATACAGCGCATTCTTAACATCCAAGTGTCAGAAAAATAATGAAATTATTGTTGTAGTGATTTTCTTTAGAAATGAAACATGTTACTTATTTCATTTTATATGGTGCACCCAAAATATTTTTTGTGCAGCCAATTTTTTAGGTTGGGTGCACCAGTGCACCTACATGTATTCCCAAAAATGAATTTCGAGCCCTCGGGTGATAATTCGTACCTAAGTAGTAAAGGAGTTGGATCTCACCTGATTGTTGGTGAAGACTCGGAAGATGTGCAGGTCGGCATCAGGCGCGAAGCCTTGGCACTCCTTGGAACTAGCGATGACCCCGGCCACGAACGTCCCATGGCCCAAACCTACAGGAGGGGGCCAGATGTTTAGATATCAGTCAGATACAGGTGTGTCACCACTATCGCTTCATTTTCCAATGTAACATTTTCTGTAGCCCATCTTTTAAAATGGAGCAAAACAGAATAATTTCCACATATATGTAATATATAAAGCAGGTAGTGGTACCCTCACATCAGGCTGATATATAATATATTAATGTTTACCTTAGCATATGGTCTGCTCTGATAATTCCTACTCAAACACATTCATAAACATGGTAACAGGAGTCTAAATCCCTCCTGCTAAAAAATTACAGCATGATGTAAAAAAACGGTCTTGTCACTATGCAATGTACAGCTAAATGTATCATGAACACGAAACATGTATACTCCCATTAAATAAAGTGTACCTGCGACTTATAGAAACCAGAGGCTACAACAGCCCGACTACAACATTATGTCGGCAAATTTAACCTATTGAGTGCGAGAATAAAAACGACAAGCGACATGTAAACACGAGTCGGCTTTCCCGAGGACAACTTGTCACCTTGGGGAGCAGCTATGCAGACACTTCACAAGCCGGTCTACAGAAATCACACTAATTGGTCTGTACCATTTCAGGGGGCCCCAGGGCAATACCAAAAACCCCGGCTTGTGGTAACCTCAGATATTTGTATCAACAAGAGGCTAGTGGTAGCAACAGGAGGAGGAACTGTAGCTCTACTCTCGAAAAAAAGAGATCACTGGACTTAACCAAGCCGGGTTAATGGGCTTCCAGCCCTTACCTAGCTTTACTTTCCATTGGTCAAATGCCATGTCTGAAAATTATAATCCGTAAAAAGGAACTGTCCTGGTTTGTTTGTCTGCGGCTACGCGCCCCGACTGCTAATGCCTCCATCTCGGTAATGTTGGCGTATCAAAGTGGAGCCGGCCCGAATCGAGCTCTGTGCATGCACATAACAGCTTAGGGGAGTGAACAAAAGGTAATGCATTTACCTGGAGGATCGCCAACCGTGGAGGGCACAACCACAAGGGCTTCAGCACCAAGGAAAGCACCAATCCTGACAAAACAGTGCCACCCATGTTTTCCCAACAACCTGCACAACAAGGTGCTCGCTCAGACTACAAGAGAACCGGATAACGAATGGAGTGGAGTCCTCTGTACAGCTGAAATGCCGCCATGTGCAGTGACCTACACAACACCCTGTTGCACGGCTTCCCCAGTAATGAGGGTACATGCAGAGGAAGTGGTCATTAATATTCAGAACCTTCCCATTCGCTCACCCCGGGATGACTACATCACGTACATGTACACGTACCATCCTCACACACACATGCTCATGTACCAACCTCACACAGACTATAGGGGACAATCCATCACAGAACATACCGATAATGCACTCTCAAAATCCTTCCAATATCATTCATAAAGAATTACGGCTGCATCGTTTGTGTGCATGTAGCTCAAACAACAAAAAGTGACCCGGGTAACCGACAATAAAATGCTTCAGGGAAAAAACCTCAGTTGTAGAGACACACGCACAGGAAATTATGACTTCACGTAGATACGAATCTGTTCGAGTACAAATATAGCCCAACCATAATACATATGACAGACAAAATAAACATACGTGTATCCAAATGGTAACACAACATACAGAAAGGAGAAAAAGCTTTTACCAGGGATTCTGGGGGAGGCAGTCAGCCAGCTGACCTTTGACCCTTCCCCACTTCACAGCAGGCTTACCAGTGGGGTTCTCGTTCCCAGCGGGGCCGGCTAATCAGCACAACCAATCAACATGCAGGCCCGCCGCTCGCCCCGTGCTCGTATTACCTATGAACTCTGCTAAAAGGGTAATGGAGGCAGGAATCATACCGCACACAAACTTCAGGCTTTTAATAACATTGTCGACAGGCAGGCAGATTTTTTAACATCTGCGACTAGGACATTTGGGTCGGGTAATTTACGGAGGAGCTTCATTGGCGTAATGGGCTGAGAGGGGGGCTGAGTTAAAAGGGTGAGGAGACACCTTAATCCCAGGGTGTCTCGACGTATGCAAACACCTCAGAAGTGAGAGGTAGGACCAGCATCAGCTGTTATACAGCAAACACGTACAGCCGGGCATAATTGTCTGTGTCGGCGACTTAAATCTCCCGTACATCACCCGCGAGCTGTCACCATCGCGGTGTTTCATCTGATCCGGGACGGCGAGAAGTGCCGTGAATTCCTGCATAAACAGCGGCGCTGTACATCATGTGGTGGAGCGCCTGCCGGGTTTCTCCCCTCCAGGACGACAAAATCACCCTCCCCATCTCATGACGGATGGTGGCACAGTCCCCGGATTGTCATTACCGGCTTTTCCCTCACAACTTCGGGGGCACTGAAAGGCTCCGTTTCACACGCCGGCCCTAAAATACGGGGTTTGAGGGCGAAAACGATGTCTGATGGGCTGGGAGAGCTAATATTTGACACCGTTGGCAGGTTCCCTTCCCCTGACCTTCACAGCTGCGAGGAAAGATAAGCATGAGAGGCAAAAATGGTATGCAGAACATCGGGCGCGCCTGTCGCCATGCATTAGAATCATGGCTCCCCTACTTCCTGGGGATCCCACGCCACTCTTCATTGATTAAAGCCGTGGGAGACCGGCCGTCCGCTGACGAACGATTCAAAATAGCCAAGCAGAATTCGTCAAGTAAAGGTCTTCTTTATTGATTCTGATCCATATACACATACTGGCTTCGCCTTTTAGCCTAAGTTATAAAGTAAAGCAGGGAAGACAGTTTTCACTACCACATGACAACTAATAATAAGTAGTACATTTGTAACCGAGGATTCGTATACGATGTAGCTTTGAAATGATTATGACGGGACAATCATGTGATACGAGAAAGGCAGTATGTGTACAACTAGTATCACCCAATATCTACAGCAATTTTTAGCAGTTCATATCAAACTAGGGTAATGACAAATCTGTATTTTAACGTGATAAATGAAAGGAGATCTATTTGTTGGCGGCAAGCAGTTCTATACTGACTTGTTCCAAGCAATCTCTTTCTTGGGTCCCTCTTCACTTGTGATCATGCCATGAAATAATGCTAACAAAAATCATTACCAGTATCGTAATAATATGACATGAAAAAATAACATATAGATATGTTGCTTTATATATTTGTATGTTATTCATTATTCCTTCTTCACTTTTGAAAATGCCATGAAATACATGTAATGCTAACAAAAATCATTACCGGTATCATAATGATATAACACAAAAAAATAACATACAGATATATTGCTTTATATATTTGTATGTTATTTTATTGTGTACCATGCAATTTTGTGCAATGTATACTAGTAAGGGCCACAGGAAGCATTGACATTGTCTACTGTCTGAAGGTAGACCTTCAAGCTCACCTCCTTTGCATAATTTATGTGGAAATGCTTGAATAGCCTTCTGTCATTGAGTATACTTAATGCAAATGAGGATCTTATTTGCCGAATCAATGAGAAATATTTATGATTCATCAGTCAATAGGGTCAACATCATTTGAAAAAACTAGGAAGAGAAGGACTTTCTTCAACCGTTGGGGCCAAAATGTGTCTTTCATTGAGCATTTTGCAGTTGATTTAGAACCCCCCCAATTTTTTTTTTTTTGCAAATCAGAAAAAAAATGTTGTTTCTCAGATTTTTTAAGAAAAAATATGAAGCGACAGGGCAAAATTTTTTAAAAAGGCACCCCATGATAGCCTGAAATGTTACAATATGAGCCATGAAGTGAGCATAACAGGCTGGTTTATAATCAAAACAATAGATTTTGAACTTTTAATTAAACAAAATTGCACTGTTACATTGAAAAACTTTAACAACTAGGAAGAGAAGGACTTTCTTCAACCGTTGGGGCCAAAATGTGTCTTTCATTGAGCATTTTGCAGTTGATTTAGAACCAAAAAAAATATCTTTTTTTTTTTTGCAAATCAGAAAAAAAATGGACAGGGCGAATCCAACAATCAACAAATTAAATTGTTGTGGCCTAAATTTACTAGTGGACGGATGTGTCTATGTTATGTCTCGTGCCAGCTCACCAAGGTGACAGTTTCATCTCGGCTATTGCCTGATTGCGTCCTCCACTTGAACATGGACCTAATCAATAGGGTGATGCAAGCTGTACATCCAGGATTCAATTGGAACACCCTACTTTAATTGCCCTGTATAATAAAGACCACAACTGCTGACTAGGCATGAATGTAAATGAGAAAACTCAAGTTGAAGGACGTTAGCATTTCAAAAACAACAACAGGCGCCTAAGGCCACACCAATTTAATTTCTTGGTTAACGGATTCCCTCGCTTCATTTTTTTCTGATTTGTAAATAAAAATTAAAATTCAGAATCAACTGCAAAATGCTCATATTTTGCCCTGAACAGTTGAAAACAGTCCTTTTCGTCCTAGTTGTTACAGTTATTCCATCTTTCAATGCAGTGGTATCATTAAAAGTTCAAAATTCATTGAAAATTTTGAACCAGCCTGGTGTGTTGACTTCATGGCTCCTATCGTACCATTTTGGGCCATAATAGGATGCCTAGGCCTGTTTTTATTTTTTTCATTTTTTCGCCCGCCAGCTCCATTATTTTTCTAGAAAAATCTGTTAACCAAGAAATTAAATTGGTGTGGACTAAGGACAAGATTATAATGAGCTTCTGCTATTGTTCATTGATAATAATATATCATAATTGTGATAATGAATTTCTTAAATTGTTATCATCAATGTTTATAGAGAAGTTCACAACTTATTTGAATTGCTGACATAATCATAATTGTCATACTGGTTTCTAATGTGCCTGAACCATTGTTGTAATTTTTACTGTACATTTTTCGCTGAGTGGTTCAATGATTTTTGTATGTTATTTTCCTCTAGTGCTCGACATGATGTTCCATTGAACAAAATTGCGATGATGGAAAAAATTTCCAGCTAGCTAGAATATTAACTGTAATAAACTACATGTATAATACCTACATGTAACTCAGGTTT